CTATTCTATTCTATTCTATTCTATTCTATTCTATTCTATTCTATTCTATTCTATTCTCCACTGAAACATTTTGTGATTAATGTCACACACTCCCAATTGAGGAGACTTCAGTTAAGGTAAGGGGTCTGAAGGACAAACCTTACAATCAGTGGTGGGATTCAAATAATTGAATCTGCCCTAATGATTTCTTCCAACCAGTTCACACAAACTGCTCAGAAAATTAACAACCGGTTCTTCCAAACTCATAAGTCACTTTTTTTCAGTAACGTAACTTTGAACGGCCACTAAATGAACTGTCGTAAATCGAGGATTATCTGTATTTTACCAGTTTAGATTTTGCTTGGTGCTTCAAGGGCTGTGTAGATATTTTTTTACTTTGGCCACTGTAGCTGGGGCACAACATTAAGCAAGAAATACTAAAATATAGCTGTAGTCTTCAACTTGCAATCATTCATTTAGTGACTGTTCAAATGTAGAGGGGCACTTTAAAAAGTGACTTCAGACCGGTCCTTGCACTTATGACCACTGGGGCATCGCCAGAGTCACGTGATCAAAATTTGGGTATTTCGCAACCAGCATGGCAACCATGGCAATGTCCCAGAATCATGTGATCAACTCTCCCAGCTGGAGAAAAACAAGGAAACGTTAACGAGGAAAGCCCAAATCACTTAACAATGTCATGATTCGCTTAATGTCTGCAGCATTTCACTTAACAGCAGGGGTGGGATTCTACCTGGTCGGACCAGTTCCATAAACCGGTTATGATTCGGCCCAGTTTGGAGAACCGGCAAATCGTGCCACTGGCTGGCCCCGCCCCTCCCCGCCCACTCACTCCTGACGTGGCATGTGCGCCATCAAATTTGCCTGCTAAGTTGCTGTGCCAGGAGATTTAGATTAGCTAGAAAGCAGGAAATTGTTGGATTTCTTGCTTTCTAGCTAATCTAAAAGCAGAGCTGAACCTTCCTTAGGACTGAAGCTTCTATTTTTCAGTGCAGACTCAGGTAGCAGATTGCAGAAAGATAGATCTCTAAGTGAACCTGTGATTCTGTGAGTTGCCCACCTACTTTGCCTGATTTGGGGTAAAAGTTGTTCTTTTTCAAATAAAAAATTAAATATTTACAAAAATATTTACAATATTTACATACAAGCAGCGGTGGAATTCAAATTCTTTTTACTACTGGTTCTGTGGGCGTGGCTTGATGGGCGTGGCAGGGAAAAATACTGTAAAATCTCTAGTCAGAGGTGGTATTTGCCGGTTCTCTGAACTACTCAAAATTTCTGCTACCGGTTCTCCAGAACTGGTCAAAACCTGCTGAATACCATCTCTGCATACAAGCCATGCCCAGCCAGTCACGTGACCACCAAGCCACACCCGCAAATTAGGCCACACCCACAGAACCGGTTTGTTAAGAAATTTGAATCCCACCCTGCTTAACAACTAAGTCAACAGATTCCCATAACCGTTCAATAATTAACAACAGTGGCAAAAAAAAAAAATTGGTCGTAACACTGGCTTCATAAATCATCTCCCATAGCAACATAAATTCTGGTTCCAGTTGCATTCTTAAGTCGAGGATTACCCAATGGGTTGCTGGTTTTTTGAAGTTCCCAGTGTGGTAGTCCTAGTCTGATAATTGAGGGATCATTGAGGAAAAGATTTGAAGCAAACTGGTTATGGCAATGCAAAAATGCAGCTGAGGAGAAAGACCAGTTTTGGACGCTCGCATGGTTAGAAGGAACTTAGGGACAGAACTGAGGTAAAATTTGATGGACCCTACAGGATTTTTAGCTTCTTAGAGCGATATTTTCTTCATCCCCTTGCGGCAATGTCCTTCCCAGGACAAAGAGACAGTGGAATGTGAATAGAATAGGATAACAGAATTGGAAGGGACCTTGGAGGTCTTCCAGTCCAACCCCCTGCTCAGGTAGGAAACCCTATTTGGAACAACTTACTGCTCTGACTCAGCTCCCCAAACACAACAAACCCTCTGACGCGAACTCAAAAGATTCCTTTATTAGGAGTCCTGGCAACCCCCAGCAAAATGTTTCACTCTCAATGGAGGCTAACAAGTCTGTCTGGCTGGAAGATGAATAATTGTCTGCCACATCTATACCTATCCGCCCCCTGCCTTTTATCCCCAGAGCTAGGGTGGGGCTTCGCTAGCAGCGGTGGCTCTTCTGTTCCAAGGACTGGCCCATAGATCTCCACTGCTCTCCTCTCCTCTGCCTTCTGACCATCTGTGTGTCATGCACTGAACCCAGTTGTTGCTCCTCTTCCTCATCAGCCACCTCCAGACCTGGGGGCTGTTGACTCTCCATCTGAGGGCTGACGGATGGCCCAGGCTCCGCCTCTGTCTCCCGCTCTCTGCCAGCTCTTCCCCCTTGGAGCTCTCAGGTTGCCTTGTTGCTGATCCTGACTCCCACACCTCCTCCTCCTCCTCTGATTCGGCTGCTGGAGGAGCTGGTGGCTGATAGCCCAAACACTTGCCTCCATGTTGTAGGTGCTCCAACATTGGAGGTTTTCAAGAAGAGATTAGACAACCATTTGTCTGGAATGGTATTGAGTTTCCTGCCTGAGCAAGGGGTTGGACTAGAAGACCTCCAAGATCCCTTCCAACTCTGTTATTCTGTTCTTATTCTGATATGCTGAGTTTGGAATGCCTGGTGGGCAGGAAGAATGCAAAGGCGGACCCTCCCTAGCAGTTCAGAGTATATAGACTTGGAACCATTTGTTTAGTTAACTGTTCAAGTTACGGCATTGGGGAAAAGAAGTGACTTATGGCCATTTTTCACACAACTGTCACAACACCCCCAAGGTCACGTGATCAAAATTTCACAAATGATTCCTATTTATGACGGTTGCTGTGTACCGAGATGATGTGGCCACTTTTGGTGATCTTCTGACAAAGGCAGCAGGGAAGCCAGATTCACTCAACAAATGAGTAACTAACTTAACAACCGAAGAGGTTCACTTAACAACCGTGGCAAGAAAAGTTATAAAATGGGGCACAGTTCTCTTAACCACTGTCTTCCTTAGCAGTGGAAATGTTTGGCTGCATTGTGGTCATACGTTGAGAACTATCTGTATTTATAGCAATGCAGATAATTGCTTTAGTCTGGCAAGATTCAGTCATGCGCCCCAGTATAGGAACTACTCAGAAGTAACTCCACAGGTTGCTCATAGTCTCTTGGGGGCCCATAATGAATTACACAGTATAAACAGTTGGGAAAAAAAGATTCTTGGATATATATTTTATTTGAGTGGTTTAGAATATCATACAGTAAACAAGATTTCTGTAAAAGTTAATTTATCCATAGTGGTGTTTCATAAAAATAGTTGCTCACTTACAGCTTTTCTGTGACTATTAATACATGGAATTATATTTATAGCAATAGAGCTGTACAAGGTAAATTCACAGCTAACACTACACAGAAATATTATCTGGAATGGGGTTTAAATGATGCCTTCACAGGTTATCAATTACAGCCACATAAAGCCGTGTGATCCACATAAGAGATGCAAACTGAAGTTGAACAAGAATCTCAATTTTCCCCATCTTTGCTAGAGAAGTCCTGTCTACATTTCAGGTTTAATAAATTAAACAGCAAATTCTGCCAAATATCTAGGCTGGGAATAAAGATATAGCTCTCTCTATTTCTTTAATTAATATATATATAGACAGATAGATATTCTATTTTGTAAACAGCTACATATCTTTGTGCTTTCTTAAAAAACTAGAACGGGACAGGTTCTTAAATACGCATTTTTGATTTTTTTTTTCTCTCCCAAGGTGCAAAATCCTTTCCTTCTCTTCAATCAGATTTAGTCTAAGATATAAGAGAGCTCCGTGGCTCCCAAAGAAAACAAATGAAAACAAAGGTAGATTAACTGATTGTAGATTGAGCGGAACTAGAAATACGGGGTTTTGTTCAGTGATGGGATGCTGACAGTTTAAGAACCGGTTCAGTGAGCATGCGCTAAGGTGCTTGTGCGCAGCACTGAAAATGGAGCATTTAGAAGCTCAGCTGCCTACCTTCCTGTGTCGCGCGATTGAGATGAACTACAAAGCGAAAAATAAAGAACAGGATAGGATGGGGGCAGATGGGCGGGGCCACCTGATCATCGGAACTATCGGTTCACACGAACCAGTCTGAACCAGCAGTATCCCACCACTGGTTTTGTTGCTTGACCAAGATTCAATCTCTTGTTTACGGCCCTGATCAAATCAACATTTCTCCTGATCGTAAAGTAACTGGATTCTGCTCATCAAACAAGGTTACTTCTGAGAAATAATAGGAGGGTTTGCAAGGAAAAAAAATATTATATTTTCAAGTTCGATAACCCTTTTGTCTGAAAAAGAAAATTATTATCGAGTGCTGCTGCTTTTGTTTCTATTGCTGTTGCTTAAAAAAAAAAAGGATTTTTTTTCAGAAATTAGGAAGATTGATTCACGGAGCTCGGGGAACAAGCCTACACTTCATCGGTTGTGCAAACAAAATATTATGATGGCACTGAAGACATGAAAAAGACGCAGAATATGGAAGGAAGGAACGCGGCGTTGCCTCGTGGGTTTCTATCATAAAAGATAGGACTTTTGTGGACATCTAGTTTAGACTTTCTAAAGTGCGATGGGGAGTAAAATTCAAAGGCGGGCCTATTCAAAAGACGTTGAATTAGTATTTAGACAGTGGTGAGTTCTTGCAGGAGACCAAGGCTGTTCTGATAGGGAGGGGAAAAAAACTGCTTTTCATTTTTCAAGAATCACTCTCTTGTAGTGGTGATCTAGCAGTTGTAGTTTGGGATCCCTCCTGTGAAACCGAGGTCAATGGCCCCCAAACATTTGGGCACCAGCAACCGTTTTTTTTTTTGTGGAGTTTTTCCCGCAGGCCAGAGGATGTGTGGTTTTATGTGCTACTTGCATCCCACGGATGGGACTTCGCTTGTTTACGTGGACTGGTTTCTGGACTGTTGTGGTCCGGTGCCGGTCCATGGACCGCAGGGGGGGGGGAGTTGGGGACCCCTGACCTAGGTGATATTTGGAGATCCAATTCTGTGGGTGGGCCTGTCTGGGAAAGGAATCTATCTGAGGCTAGGTTTCTGAATGCAATTCCACCCTTAATTTCTCGGTGTACAGAAAAATGGCGGGTTCACAAAATGGACGTAGAAATGATTCTGCTTTAGCTAATTCACTAGGGTGCCTCATAATGAATTATGATACTAACATTGGACAGATTTGGTTCTTTGTTTTTTCCCCCCCAAAGTGTTAACAGTAGAGACATAGCATGGATTTACAATTTCAATGCTTCAACCCCTGTCTAGATATGCCGAGAACTATTTATTTACAACGTTGAGTTCAGATAAAATATTCTATTTCCACTTTTTAACTTTCCCCGTGCAGTTTTATTTAAGGCGATGTTCCAGTTTATGATTGCTCTAACTTCTTCCAGTTTCTCAATATAAAGTCTGAATGAAAAAAAACAAACATCCCAAGACCTTCATGCAGTGGAAAACATCAAAGTAAAGCTACACTGCATGAGTTGACTGTCCTTTCATATTATTTTGGTTTCTTCCGTAGCTGCCAAAGTCTCTGAAATGAAACTGGGGAATTGAAGGTCACGTTGAGATACAAGAGTGATCTATCTTCCATTAACATATTAAGACGTAGATGTGTACTAAGCAGAATTACACGTTTACTGCTTTTGTTTTTTCTGTCGTTTTGAGCAGATGAGTTAAAATAAATTAAAATGAGGGGAGACAGAAACAAGGAGGACGTTTCTAGCATCGCTGTGAACCACGGGAAGGCAACAGTCGTGGATGGCTTATCTGCTCATGGCAGAGGTTGTCGATTTTAGGATCCTGGGTAACTTATCGGAGCCAGGAATCTTCCATGGCCCCGGCGAGACCGTTGCCTTCCGAGCGGAGGGGTTGGGATTGTGTGTCGGGATGGGATGGACGTGTCCCTTCCGTGGGAATTCACCGGGCCTCCTCTCTGGTTCTTTCTGGCTGTGATCCGTGTCACTTCCATGGGAGCTGCAGCTATTGCTACTATACGCCTTGGTAGCACCAATGGATTCCGGCTTGACATGTTCGGTTGACTTCTTCTCTACAGCCCCCACGACGTAAGGATCCTTTCCTTCAAGGGATACCCCTCGTTTGCTTTCCAGCCTCTTGGATCTCCCAACCCATTCCTCGTTGGTCCCAGCACATCCATGTCCTCGGAAGCCATCCTCGGCCATTGGGTTGAGTCCTCCTGCCTTAGTTTCCGGCAATGGCCTTCTGCTCTCCATAGCCTTACTCTTGCCTTCTGAACTTGCTTTCCTCCACACCTCTTCGTGTTTTGACCTGTCAACCTTCTTCGGACTAGCAGACCTCTCGGTCTGTTCGCCTAACCTTTTCTTCCTGTGTCCATTGACCGAAAGCTCCTTTGGTTTGTTGGCATGGTGTTCCCTCTTGATATCCCAAGCCGACTCTGGACTTATCTGGCGGGAAGGGTCAGAGGATTGGGCTAGATGCGATGAAGATAATGGCAGGACAATGTCATCAGGGGAAAGAGTTACTTCCGACAGACCTGGGGAGGTGGCAGCGGGGGCCCTCCAGGAGTTTGGCTCGTCTGTTTGAACAAAGAGAAACAAGGTTAGTTCCACAGCTCCTCTGTCAAGTATTCATTACAACACCTAGACCACTGATGGTGAACCTTTATGTTGTGGTATGCCGAAAGCGTGGCCGGCACCCACAATGCAATGCTCCCCTTACCCCCTGCACATGCACGTGCAACACCTCCACCCCACCTCCCTACCTGCACTGTGCATGCACACACCTCCCAGCTGATTTTCAGCCCATTTGAGGCCGTTTTTGCCCTCCTGGAGGCTCAAGGGAAACCTTTGCAGCCATGGAAAAACGGCCCCATTTCGGCACTTCTGGTATTTCCAGAAGGCCCATTTTTCAGCCTCTTAAGGCTGCAGAGGCTTCCGTCGAGCTTCCGGGGGGGCAAAAACAGTGTCAAATGGGCCAAAAATCAGCTGGGAAGCTTGCACATGAGCAGTGCAGTTAGGTTTCGCTGGGGCTCACGTGCCCGCACAAATGGCTCTGCATGCCACCTGTGGCACACGTGCTATAGGTTCGCCATCACGGGCCTAGACAGTTCAACAGAAGGTCACATCCATAGTTTTCAAAAGCTTGTTGAAAAGGAGGGAGGAGACAAGTAAGTAAGAGAAGTCATTTCAATAGGAATTCCAACCAAGGCATTGCTAATTTCTCTCTCTTTGATACTCTTCTAAATTTGCATGTTGAGAGCTAGGTCTCTCAACACGGGGGGGATTTCTTTTTTTTGCCTTACAAAAGCCAGCTGTGGCGGACCAGTGACAAAGAAGAAGAAGAAGAAGAAGAAGAAGAAGAAGAAGAAGAAGAAGAA